ACCTCCTGCATCCCCCCCCCCAGGCTGGGCTGGCCATACCCCACCCGTGCACGAATTCGTGCACTGGGCCTCTAGTCTATATATATAAAAGGCTAATATGTTAAGTGTCCTACCGTCCGACCAATCGCTATGATGCGCACTGACCTCCAGGGGGCAGACGCTCAACATAGGAGTGCCGTGACATGCACTGGCCATTTACAGAGAAACGGCACCGTGGACGTGGTGCCCACAAAGCAACACTCGGCTTCCCCACAGTGGGACATAGGCCATGCCACCACCCTGGAGTGACAGCCCACCAAATCGCAGCTGAAGCTGCCAAGACCCCACGGCGCAAAATGCAGCCTGGAAACGGTGGCTGTGGGTGCTGAATAATGACGTCACGTACCAACGCCTGGCTTCCTCTCTTTAGCGACTAGCCTCCTTGGAGTTTCTTCAGCCCAGGAACACGACTTGCTTTATAGTCAGGTAGAAACATTTTACACTTTAACCAAATGTCTGTGAAGGGTTTCCCCATGCCTCATCTCATTTGATCCTCACAGAAGTCCTGGAGTAGGTAGATAGGAGACTTGGTGGAATCCTATTTTCTTTTCATTAGCCAGAAAACGGAGATTTAGAAAACTTAGAAACTTGACCCAACTGAAAAGAAGAAATGGTGGATCTTGAAAATGACTTCAGGTTTTCTCACTGTGCAGAATGTAGTCAAACACTGCTGCAGTCAAATATTTTACCCTTTGTTCTCCCTGTGTGATCTACAATAATAATCTACTTAGTGTTGATATTTACTGCTGTGTTGCTGACAATTATCTGAAAGAGAAGTTGGGGTGATTCACTGGGCTGGAAAAATTTTAGCTAAATCAGAAAGCAGGTCTAATTAAGCAAGTTTATTTATATATGTAAAAGGCTAAGTTGATCGTGTATGCGCGATACATATAGAGCTCTCGCTGGCGCCAATCGCAGGTGTGTGTTTTGATCTGTCATTGTCGATAGTGAATTTGGTTGACATTTCTATTATGGAGAAAGGGCGAATAGCTATATTAAAATATTTATTCTAATTAATTTCCTTTCAATGTGCACGAATCCTTGTACTGGGCCACTAGTTTAAAAATAAAATAAATATAGTTAAGCCCGGCCAGTGTTGCTCAGTGGTTGAGCATTGATCCATGAGCCAGCAGGTCATGGTTCAGTTCTGGTCAGGGCACATGCCTGGATGCAGGCTCAATCCCCAATAGGGGGTGTGAAGGAGGCAGCCAATCAATGATTGTCTCTCATCATTGATATTTCTCTTTCTTTCTCCATTCCCTCTCCTTTCCTCTCTGAAATCAATAAAAAAAAATACATAAAAAAAGAGTTAAAACTAAAACATAAATGTTGAGGGGGGAGAGGTAATATGTTCCACCAAAGAATATGGATGACACTATTTTTAAAAATACATTCATGCATTAACTATTTTTTATGCTCACTCTTTAAAATAGAAAGCCTTCATTGGGTGTTGGGAAATATCTCTTCTTGCTTGAATACTCTGTAATCTGTGACTAAAGGATTCTTCCTACCTTAATATATCTTCACTTGCCTGCTTAAAAGCAGAATCCTAAAGTATAATCAGTCCCACACCCAGCTGGGTGATACTGGATAAGTAAGAGAATTAGCATTTATTGAACACCTGCTATGTTATCTGATACTTTGCTTTATTTATCTGATTTTATCTTATATGGTTGGGATTTTTATTCCACATTTTACAAATTAAAAGAGATAGTAAAATCCAAGAAGCTTAAATAAATTGTCCAAAGTCCCAAATTACTAAGTGTTTGAGTCCTGATTCAAAGAAAGTTC